TGAGTCATTCACTTTGAAAGATGTGAGTTACGTGTTTCTTCATTCACTTTGCTTGACTGAATTTATTTGTTGCCAGGGAGGATTCTATCTGGGATGCTGGGAAGGACTAGTCAGGAAGTAACAAAGAGGACAAAAAAAGAAAAGAACCAGTAGAGTGTAAACAAAAATCAAATGAGGCTTATTCTCACCCAACCCCATATTCTTTCTGACTCATTGTGAGGATGGGGTGGAGCGTGGGCACTGTCATGAAAACCTAGAGAGGGGAGAGGTTCAAGAAGAAGGGAATCTAAGCAATAGGGTTAAGTGACTTGCCCAGGGTCACACAGCTAGTAAGTGTCAAGTGTCTGAGGCTGGATTTGAATTCAGGTCATCCTGACTCCAAGGCCAGGGCTCTATCCACTGTGCCACCTAGTTGCCCCAGAAGAGGGGAACCTTGACAGTGACAAGGCTCAGAGAGGTCGAGAAGAATGAGGATGGAGAAAAGATTTGGTGATTAAGGGGCCACTGGCAGCTTTGGAGAGAGGAGTTTCCGATGGCTTTCAAAGGCATCTAACTCAGTTGAGGACTTTCCTTACTTGGTCTAAAGCCTTCACTTGATCCATTCATTGATTCAGTGGAAATGTCCAAGCCTTGTTCGCATGAGGTGAACAATTCCAATGTATTCTCAGCTGGTATTGTATTAGGATAGCAATTTGTCATGTATTTTAAGTGGGGGTGGGATGACTGGATTAATTTACTTGATCAGTCATGTTACCCAGGCATGATATTTATTTTACAGATAAAGAAACCAAGGCCTAGGTGAAGTGACCCGTCTTCAGTCACAGGGACAACGTGGAGCAGAGCTGCTTGAACCCAGACATCTTAGCTACGCTACATTGACTCTCAACTGGCGATATAATACCCTAATGCCCAACAATAGGGGAGCGGCTAAGCAAACACTGGGGGATTAGTATGTTGGAATCCTCCAGGGTTCTGAAAAATGTCCGGCTTTTGGATGGCCTCAGTACTTGGAAAGGCATAGATGAAATCATGTTAGAGAAGAAAGAATGTACAATACCAAGTACCCTCTGACAGCCTCTTATGTCTCTACAACCTTATAGGCGATGCGTCCATGAACATATAAGTCTGTGTAGCACAGGAGGCAGAGGACTGGTAGACCTGAGTTTGAATACAGCTTCAAACACTTACTAGCTGTTGGACCTAAGGCAAGTCCCTTACTTTCTCTTAGCCTCAGTTTCCTAATCTGTAAAAAGGGGATAGTAATAGTATCAGTGGACAGCTTTGTGGCGCAGTGGGTAGAGTGCTGGGCCTGGAGTCAGGAAGACTCATCTTCCTGAGTTCAAATCTGACCTCAAACACTTACTAGTGTGACCCTGGGCAAGTCACTTAACTCTGCCTCAGTTCCTCATCTGGCAAATGAGCTGGAGAAGGAAATGGCAAACCACTCCAGTATCAGTGCCAAGAACAACCCAAACGGGGTCAGGAAAAGTTGGATACAAGTGAAATGACTCAATAAAAACAAATAGCATTAACCTCCCAGAGTCATTCTGAGGATTAAATGAAATAACACAAATAAAACAGTTTGTAAATCTTAAAGCACCATATAAATCCTAGCTATTTATCATCAACCTCATGAAGGGCGATACACTGTGAACCTTGACAAATACTGGAATGTTTGGAGAGATCTAAATCTATGTGAGACTTTAGTATTCAATGAATTCTTTTTTCCTGTTCAGTCATTAATGTTAACTCTGAATTTGGACATGAGTTTGAATCCCAACTCTGTCATCTACAGCTGTGTGACCTTGGGTAAGTCATTAGGACTTTTTGTTTCCTTCTCTTTGAAGTGAGGGTATTCAACTAGCTGGCCTCTGGTTCTTAATTCTGCAATAGCATAAAATAGAACAAGCAAAAACACCACCTCTCTCCTGCTCTTGGTATTTATATAAGGCTAAGATTCAGTAAGGATTATTCAGCAGGGAAAATTTCCGGAAGAAATTGTCTGCTACTAGAAGGAAGTTGAACAGGTAGAATGATAGGATCTCACAGCAAACTGAGAGAGACTCCAGGGGCCATTTAATCCAAATCGGACCTGACCAGTTATCTTCTCTACAACATACTGCAAGAGAGTCATCTAATCTTTTCTCTCTCTCTCTCTTCTTCCTCTTATCCCCCCAAGCCACTTACTATGTTATTAAATTTTTTAAAATCTGTTTTCTTTTCCTCCCACCTCACCCCCCTTCAATTGCAAAAAAAGAAAAAAAGAGAAAGAGAAAAGAAAAACAAAACCTTTGTAATGAATATGCACAGTCAAGCAAAACAAATCCCTACATTGGCCATGTCCAAAAATTAGACGTCTTAACCTGCACTGAGTCCATCCCCTCTCTGTTAGGTGGTATGTAGCTTAAACATGGCTCTTCTGGAATCATTACATTGATCAGAATTCTCAAGTCTTTCAAAAATTGTTTGTCTTTACAATATTGTATAAATTGTTTTCCTGGCTTGCTTGTTTCACTCTGCATCAGTCTAAGTCTTCCCATTCTTTCTAAAACCATCCCTTCATCATTTCTTACGGCTCAATGCCATTCCATCTCTCCTCTTCTTAAAGACTACCAGTGAGGGGAAAGACTGTCCCTGGTGGTAGCCCAGTCTGCTTCTGGATAGCTCTAATTGTCAAGCCATTCACTTAATTAACTTAAGTGTCTACTGTGGGCAGAGCCCTGTGCCAGGGACTGGAAGAAACAAAAATTAGCACTCTAGTGTGACCCTGGACAAGTCACTTAACCCTGGTTGCCTCAGTTTTGTCATCTGTAAAACGAGCTGGAGAAGGAAATAGTAAACCATCACTCTCCCAAGAAAACCCCAAATGGGATCACAAAGAGTCAGACATGACTGAACAACAACAAAACAATAAGGTGGGTTTCTGTGTCTACTCGTATTCAGTAGTAAGACCCAAGTGCTGTCGGTCAAATGTTCATGTCCAGCTGTTGTACGCACCATCCAACACCAGAGGGTGCTCTGGGGTAACCACCAAGCTGTCTCTGGTTCTTGGACAGCTGTTGGCCTCTTGACCCCTAGCTCTTCCTCTTTCATTGGTAGTAATGCTTATTTTGTTATTCTTAAAGTTTAGCGTGAATTTAATTAATCAGATTCTTGACCTATTCCCTTAAGGCTTTCTCCTTGGCATTTCTCCACTAATGGCAAAATCTCCCGTGGGGTCAGTGTCCAGCCAGTGGAGACAGCTCAGGAAGCCTGGGCACCTCTCTCTTCCTCAATGGAAGTAGACATTCAGGCAGACTGCATTAGGCTTTAATCTCTCTTCTGGACAACCATCTCTTTTCTGTTCTTCACTTACCTTCTGATGCATTTATTTCATTTTGTCCTTGTTTGTTTTTATACCCAGAAGTATAAGAAGCAAGAGTTTCTTTTTACAGTAACCTGCTGTTCCCTGTTTTGTCCAAGTGGCCAGAGGGCAAGAAGGCACAGGCACCCCTGCCCAGTGGCCATTGCCTGGGGCTACCTCCTTGAGTTGTCAACTTCTCTTTTCAAACACCCACCCCTTAGGTTTTTCCATCATCCTCCTTCTCTGAAGCTTGTATGAGCCTGGCATGGGCATGGGCATGGGTATGGGCTTACTCCCTACCCAGAGTTTATACAAAACTTGTGGTGTTCATAGCCTTGTGGGTAGATGATACAAAATAAGTGTTCCCGAGAGATGCAAACGAGTACCATGCAAGAATGGAGAAGGGGATGATGGTTCTTGACTGGAGGTGACCAGAGGATCACTGCTAGTCTTATTAAGAGTAAGAGATTGTAGAATCACAGTATAATGGAGCTGTTAGGTCGGAGGCCTCGAGCTCACTGGCCTGAGCCTCATTTTATCAAGTCTAGAGCGCCTTTTGACCTCTTTCTTTCCACATTCCACATTTGAATCCATCACCACGTTCCAGATTTTTTTTCTCTTTGAAATTCCTCAAACCTCACCTCTTGAATGCATTAATCAATGAATGAAAATGTATTGTTAAGTAAATACCATGTGTTCAACTCTGTGTTAGGTTCTGGGGCTCTAAATACAAAATTGAAATGTTCTAGTCCTTAAGGAATTTACATCCTAATAGAGAAAGAAAGCACGTAAGAGGAGTGAAAAATCAGGGCTGTGAATTTTGGGCTGGGGAGTTTTGAATGACCGAATAATGAGTATTCCCATTGCTTCTGGAAAGGGGACGACAGTTATTATCCCTGTGTAGAACCTCTTCAAGACGAGACACACTGCATTCAGCAGCCTGCTCTGGGGTCCCTCCAGCCCGGGGGAGCTCATGTCCAGTGAATGGACCAAAGGTGCAAACACAGGGAACAAAGCTGCTTTCCAAAGGGTGGGGATATTCCCAGAAGCTGGGAATTCCTCTTCATAGTCTGTCATTGGTCCCTCAGCCACACATCTATCTAAACTCTTCTGAAACTCCTTTATACCCTCTCATGAGAACAAGTGGGAGAGATAAGACATACACAAACAGCTACAACCCAGAGCAGCTAGTAACAAATGCCGTGGGAGAGGTGAAAAGAGGCCAGAGGTAACAGTAGGCATGGCGAGGTGGTGGGGAGAGGAGTCTTGGTGCTGTGTGACCTTGGATAAGCCACTTTCCTCTCTGGGCATCATTTTTCTCCTCTGTCAAATGAGGTAATAGGATGTCATCCTCGCTCTGGTTCTAGAGTTCTAAACTCCATGATTCCTGTCTCCTTTGTAAAAAACAGTTAATTGTCCCCCTGTAAAACTTTGAACTTCAAAGAATATCCCCCTCATTCTGGTATTCTGCAATTGGACAAACAAGTCTGTGTTTTTCCTGATTACGTTCTGGTTTTTCCAACCATAGATCGACTTTAATCCCACCCTCCATCAGGGAAATAAGAAAAGAATAGAGATTCCAGAGGAGAGGGAGTGTTATCGGTGTGGAGAACCAGTCAGTCAGTTGGTGAACAAGCATTAATTAAGTAATTACTACATGCCAGCTGCTGTGACATTTAGGTCTGAATCCTTTGCAGAAACCTTCGCTGATAGAGGTAGGCCATCTCACAGGCTGTCCCTCCATGTCTGGGTGACTGCACCCCAGGGAGCATGGGCAAAGTTGCTGCACCTGCTTCTGGGATTCATGCTAGCTCAGCACGAATGGACTCACTAGAGAGACGCCACCAACAGAGGAAGAACCATAACCCACGGCCTGGTTTTCCGGAAGAACCTGGAGGGAATTGTTTGAACAGTACCGAGCTGAGGTGAAATGTAGACCGCCTATTCAGTAGTCCTACAAACTGGATCATGTCTTGATGTTTTAAGTATCAATTTTCCAGCAGACTGTAATAGTTATGTTAATGCTGCTGTTTGTTAAGTTTCCTGTGGATACATACTTGTGGGTCTTGTGTGTACCAAGTATTTCTTTAGTGCGGAGGAAACAAATAGCTGTCCCATATCTGATTCATACTGTACCTTGAGTTCAGAGACTCTAGACTTGAGTCAAACCTAAGCTTTAAGTAATTTTTCCCTGAGCACCAGGGCGGGGGTATAAAGAGCCAAAGAGTATGAAAATAGCCCCTCTTTTAAGAGGTCATGCTTCCCTAAGACTGCACCTAGGCACCAAAGGCACAAGTCCAGAGCAGAGAAGCCCATTAGTGGAGAGGGAGAGGACATAGTAAGTACCCCTATGTATTATTGTACCTGGAACGTAATCCGTCATCTCTCCTTCTTGGAATCCCTTGAAATTGGTTGTGCCACCAGAATCTACGTGAGACCTACCCTGAGGCACCTACCCTGATTTCCACCTCCCTCCAGCTATTAAGAATGTCCCCCTGTTAAAAAAAAAATCTTGTATTTATTTTAAATATTTTTGTGTATTGATATAAGTTCATTGTTTTCTCCCCTACTAGAATAAAAGCTCCTTGAGGGTAGGAACCATTTTACTTTGGTCTTTGTATCCACAGTGCCTGGAGCATAATAGGTGTTTAACAAATACTTATTGATTAATGGATGGATTGATCTCCTATAGCTGCCAAATTTCTCGTAGCGCACATAGTCAGTCTTCTGAAGAGAGAAGAAGGGCCCTCCTTGGTGCTCCCCACCTAAAGTGAAAGGGAGGCAGTATGGAACAGTGGAAAGACCGCTCTCTGGAGTCATGGGACTACTCCCTGTGCCACCTTGGACAAAATCCCTGAGCCTCATTTACTCCTCTGTAGAATGAAGGGATGGTACCAGATGTCCTCTGAGGTCGAGTCTGGGATCCTATGACTACATGACCTCTAGGGTCCCTTCCAGCTCTAAATCTGACCAGAAGGAAGAAATGAGCTTCAGGGGAGCTCCAAGAAAGCAAAGCGCCCTGCAGCTGAGGGAGACCAGACTGTTGTTGTTCATCCTTTGTTCTCAGAGAGGACCAGTGACATCAGGAGGGCGATGGACCTGTCTTACTAGCTGCGTGAGTTCAGACGATCATTTAATCTCTTTTCCCTCAGTTTCCTCATCTGTAAAGTGAAGTAGTTGGACTCTGAAGCCCCTTCCAGTTCTGGACCTGGGATCCACTGGCCAGGGCGGAGTGGGGAGGAGCCCTTGTTTCCCTCGAGCTCTCTGAATAATGTGAATAAGGTTACATTAATTTTCTTCGACCCACAGGAACCTCCCTGTCTAGTGGCTGGGCAAACAAACCCACCTGGGAAACAATCAAATAACCGAGACGTTGTGTGGCTGGGGAAAGGGGTGGGGGTGGGGGGCAGCCAGGGAAGTGGTTGTCTGGGCAGGACCATTTCAGAGAAGGGAAAATGTGAGAGTAT